GGGACAGGATCAGCGCCCCGTCCCGGAGAGCGCGGCGCCCCGAGGCCGGCAGCTCTGCGGGGACAGAAATCCATTTGAGATACCAAAATCATCCCTGGGGACACCAAAATCAGCCCTGGGGACACCAAAATCATCCCTGGAGACACCAAAATCAGCCCTGGGGACACCAAAATCCCATCCAGGGACACCAAAATCCACCCAGGGACACCAAAATCCACCCAGGGACAGGATCAGCGCCCTGTCCCGGAGAGCGCGGCGCCCCGAGGCCGGCAGCTCTGTGGGGACAGAAATCCATTTGAGATACCAAAATCATCCCTGGGGACACCAAAATCCCACCCAGGGACACCAAAATCCCATCCAGGGACAGGATCAGCGCCCCGTCCCGGAGAGCGCGGCGCCCTGAGGCTGGCAGCTCTGCAGGGACAAAAAATCCATCCAGAGATACCAAAATCATCCCTGGGGACACCAAAATCAGCCCTGGGGACACCAAAATCAGCCCTGGGGACACCAAAATCCCATCCAGGGACACCAAAATCCACCCAGGGACACCAAAATCAGCCCTGGGGACACCAAAATCCCACTCAGGGACACCAAAATCCCATCCAGGGACACCAAAATCCACCCAGGGACACCAAAATCAGCCCTGGGAACACCAAAATCCCATCCAGGGACACCAAAATCCACCCAGGGACACCAAAACCCCATCCAGGGACACCAAAACCCATTTGAGATACCAAAACCAGCCCTGGGGACACCAAAATCCCACCCAGGGACACCAAAATCAGCCCTGGGGACACCAAAGTCCCATCCAGGGACACCAAAATCCACCCAGGGACACCAAAATCCCATCCAGGGACACCAAAACCCATTTGAGATACCAAAACCAGCCCTGGGGACACCAAAATCCCACCCAGAGATACCAAAATCATCCCTGGGGACACCAAAATCCCATCCAGGGACACCAAAACCCATCCTGGGGCCATCTAAAACGAACCCAGGGACACCAAAATCCCCCAAATCCCCTCCCCCACCCCCTTCCAAGCCCCTCAAATTCCCTCCCCAGCCCCCCAAACC